GTTCGACTGAAAGGGGAGCAGAACCGTTGTGGATGAAACAGAGATGGAAAATCGTGGGCGGTACGTCGATATTGCGGTGTCGCGACGTCCTGTGACTCGGGAATAATGGCGTCGACGGCTGTGGATCTTCCCACGACGCGATCCTCCTTTCCCTCTTCGTTGTTCTGCACCCTGAACTCGATTTTTTACCTTCCAATCGTGCTTCGCTAGTTATTACGTTAACGAGCCAAATCATCTAACTAAAAATTGTTATATCATTAACATAATAACGAGTCCAATTGCTTTTAAAAGTTTTTCAATTACTTCTCATTTACATAAGATATAATTTATTAGTTAGAAGTCTACGTGTACAGTTAGGTATGAAGTATTATACTTTGCTGCAAGGGTGGTATTAGAATAGTAAACCAGAAAATTTTTCATCCATTTGTTTGTATTTTCTTTTTCATTTTTTTTTTTTGAAATTCTTTCTTCTTTCATCCTTATTCAATTTTTTATTCCTTCTTGACTCAAGTTTTTATTTCCTATTTTCCTTATTTCTTCCTTGTTGAGGTTTCTTCTCTTATTGCTGTCTCTTCTTCACTCAAGTTTTCTTTTCTCATTTTTCCTTCCTATCAATCAGAAGCATGAATTTCTTAAATTGATGATTTAACTTCTAAATGAATTTCTCTTTAATTTCTTAAATTGCAAGTTAAAAATTTTTCAATAGAAAGATAAACAAAAGTAGATCAACTCATTGTACTATGGCGAACAAATTCTGCAGCTAAAATCACACTGTTTTCCATTATAGAAGAGATCAGACAGTAGCACTCAGTACGAAGACTAATCCACTAGGTGAACTTCTAATTTGATAGACCCGCAGCAGGACGTGGGCCGCTATCAGCTGTGAAAACAGCATTGTTTATAGACACTGTGGCACAATGAGGTGTAATTGAATCCATATTCAACCGCGTTGTATCAGGCGCCCCTCAACAGAGAGCTAGCGGAACGCCCCTGGTGCTCCAGGGGATGGTTATACTTAACGGTCCGGAAATCGAGGGTGGTCGTCGATTTGTGGACAATTAGGAACAATATACTTGTCTCCTGGGACGAATCGAAGCGGTTTTCATCTTCTCTTACTGTGTCTTTCCCCTCTTCTCTTCGTTTCTGGCTGTTTGAACAGAATTGAAATAAGAATCATTTTTGTGATGTAAAATACTTGAAGTTGTTTCAGTTGCAGGTATACTAATTTATTGAATTAGACTTTTAAACTGGATCGTAGATTCTTGTTTTCATTTTCAATTTTAAATTGCGAAACTGCACAGAATGCACATTACGCATGAGAAAAGGACCAATGCTAGATAGCAGATCAGCACGAACGTTGAATTCAATGCGATGTTACGGTATTACTACATGAATCGTGAATTAATACTTTATTTGTGTGTCACTCCAGCTGCGAGGATCAACACAAGTGTGACCCTCGTGACAAGAGGGTGCTCTCTTAATGCGCGTCTGATACGCGAAAGGGGGCTACAGCCGCGATTCTATGGTTTGCTAATTTTCACGGGATCACGGTACCGTGACGTTCGAGCCGATTAGGTTCAACCTGGGCTATTGAACTTTCACGCCTCCCCTTAACCGCTACATTTCTCCGTGAAGATGCTCTGGAACATCACTGAAGCTTTATGAATAATAAAATTAAATTTTCGATCCGTAATTACTAACATTTTCTATCTCATTCTTAAAAGCGTATTTTTCTGTTTTTTTTTTTATTTTAATTTTAAAAACGTATTTTGTATTGGATATCCACCATGACGCTTAATATTGAAAGATATATGTGTGAAAAAAATTGATGCATCATAAAGTGATATGCGATAAGGGCAGGTGTATGAACACACCTGGGTCAACTGTAGATAAGTCTGAAGTTTAAACCAGTTTCGATCACCTGACCAATAATAGTCCTTTTATCAGTTACTAATCTTATTTATCTTTTATTTCTTTTTTCTTCATACTTCATATACATCTTAAATTAAAATATAAAATATATATATATATATAT